ACGGCAATGACGACACTCCAGCTTAGCCACCGAATCAGACCTAGCAGCAGTAGCGAGCACAATCTCTCCTTCGCCAGGGCGCAAATCCAATTGCGCTTGAGTTCGTAGGCGAATTTCTTCCCGCACTAGCTCGCCAAGAACCCCATCCATCGTCAGCGTACCCCGTTGAATGATGCTCGACCGGACATCCTAAAATTCCGGCCTCGGCTTCATCAAGAATCGCAAAATGCGCGCGTGCTGGCGCTCTTCTATCATGGTTGCGGAAACTTCAGCTGAACAAAGGGAAGTCGTTAACAAGTCGGCTTCAGTCCACAACTCCCGCGCCTCCATTAAATAAGATGTGACGTCCCGATCTCCCTGCTCCAATCGCGCCAATGCAAACTCAATTTCAAATTGTCGGGCAACATTGGAGGTTGAATAGGTAGATGACAATTTCTTCCACATGCTATTCACCATGGATGTAGGCAATGTCCCAAGAAAATCTTTGCCGATCCCAAAAGCTAAGACCTTATCCTGGCATCATTCTGATTACAACGATTAATTTGTTCAGCCGTAGACGTCTCGTCTGGTCGTGGTACAGAATCGTCGAGGATTCCTAGAAGTCCCTGCCCTTCAAAAAAAAAAAAACACGAAACTGGATTCACTATCTGACTTAGTTGGTTCGGCGGTGTACAAGAGAGGAGAATATATATATCCCATCAAACCCTAACACTCAAAGTCTATCTTGTGCATGGGTTTCATGTGCTTATTACATGGGCTAAACATACTTAAGTGGGTGGGTATATACAATGGGCTCAAGCTAACCACATCTATCACTATCAGAAACACCCAATCACTGCACCACTATGACCCAAGCCCCCTAGGGCTCTCCTTCTTCTGCTACTTCTACTTCTTACTCTTCTTCATCCCCATGCTGCTCTTGTGGTGCTACAACCATAAATGAGAGACGAGTTTGATTACTCCGACAGGCAGGTTCCGGGTTGGGTGGATGAGCTCTAGGAAGCCAACCCTTCAAAGCCACGATCCATTCTAGTCGTGTGACGGTCCCGCACCACGCGATTATTATGTCACCGCAGCTGAGGGTTCTGGTGATATCATCGTTGGAGACAACGACGTATCCGATCCAGTTGGCAATTCAACTTGAGGAATTGAAAGAACTGGCGACGATGCGGAGACAGATAAGTAGGGGGTAGAGGACACTACGGGGTATCCTCGTCGCCTGCATCATCGCCGGCGTGGCGGTCGACGTAATCGCTTCTTGTCGATTACAAAGCTTGCGTCGATGATGTTGATCTATGTCGCTGGCGTCATAGCAGGGAAGGAGAGTACGGAGGAGGTTGAGATTTCTTTTCGTAATGTTAATCTAATTGCATTGGTTTGCGAAGTAGCTCGCATTTTAATTAGAGCAAGAAGGAGAGAAAGAAGCTCGAAGAAAGTGAGAGGAGAGGTTATCAATATGCTCGACTGAAAGGAGAGGGGGAGAGTTTGACCGATAACGAAGCCACCACGGCCAGGATTAAGGTCGTACTCGAACATTATCTCATTACAATAGATCTTCCCTACGGTGGGATATTATTTTTATTATTTTGAGGTGGAATTGTATTGAGGTAAAATTTTTATTTATTTTATTTAATTATATTGAGGTGGAATTGTAAAATATTATTTTCATTATTTTTAACTATCACGTCACTTATTTAACGGTCAACTATGAGAGTTGACTATCATATCAGCAAAAGTTAACGGAGACTAACGGCAATGACCAAACTGAACTGTTAAACTAATTTAAATGATAATGGAATAAAATAATTATAGTGACAAACGTGAAATTTTTTAGTAATTATAGTGACCAAACTTATAATTTATCCTTAAAAAAACTTTACATGTTACAAACACGAGATGTATCCATAGGAGACAAACTGAGCAGTTTCTAAATTGCTAATATCTTCCTAATATGCGAGAAATTTATTACAAATATCAAGGTTCAAGAAGCTAGGTGCTAGGCAGGCGTTGGGAGTCTGCCTACCACCTAGCGGCCTAGGCATAGCAAAATAGCAATTTTAGTTGAGATTACAATTTTATATCAATCCCCCCAGTGCAATTTCAGTTGATTAATAACTTAGCTAACCCTCAGTAGGGTTGGGATATGGTCATTTCCCCTAATGGGGTTGTGAGATTCACAACCAAGTATCTTGGGTATGACAAAAAAATGAATTTATTAATTAATTTTTTTGGTATTAATTGCAGATTGGGAATTAAAAACACATATTAAATACATGATTTTTTTAAATTTAAATCCTACAATAAATACAACCCTCTATCTCTTCCTATCTCTCTCTTCCTTTTCCATCAACCACACCACTCTGACCGGCTGACTTTCCGGTCGATAAACTTTCTCCGGTGAAATCCTTGAATAAGACTCACTCTGACAACCTGCAAAATAGTACCGCTCTGTCAGTGTGCTAGTGGTAGGCTACCGCTACCACTCGTACCACTACCATCTAGTAGCTAGTAGTGGTAGATTACCACTACCATTTGGTACCACTGTCCGCTACCATTTGGTAAATGGTAGTGGTAGGCGTACCACTGTCATTACGGGAGCGGTTATGGTGATTGCTAGTTTCTAGTAATCACCATGGTTACTAAGGACAAATTGGGTATGTAAAAAATACTTAATTAATTACCATTTATAATAATTATATCTTAGGAAGTTACAAAAATATAATAATTAAAGGGTTATAGGTATAATATGCCTCTCTACTATGTCGTTTTATCAAACATGCCCCTCTACTATTTTTTACATCAAACATGCCCCTATACTTTGGAAAAATTATCAAACATGGCCTTCTATTAAAATTTTCATTAAAAAAATTGTCAATCATGCTTGAACTGAGATTTAGACGACCCGATATCGGCAAATGGGAGGGAAAATGTCAGTTTTGTCCCATGTTTTATTTCTCTGAGTCTCGCCAAAGTGAAATTATTAGGATTATTTGGCTATATAAAAGAACCAAAAAAATTCTAAAGTGAAATTATTCAGGATATTTTAGACATTTGTGCCGCCCAAACAAAAGTTTGGCCGTGGTTAAGGGTTTTTGGATAAAATTTTTAACATAAGTGCATGTTCGATAATTTTTTCAAAGTACATGGGCATGTTTGATGTAAAAAGTAGTAGAGGGGCATGTTTGATAAAACGACATAGTAGAGGAGCAATCTACAGCTAGATCTCCCTTTCTTCTTTTCCGTTCAATCGAATTAATACCATTGTAAAAATAAAATAAGAAATCAATACCAATTCATTAGACAACCACTACCATTTCAAAAAACACCACTACCATTATAGAAATCAATACCAAAACATTAAAAACTACCATTACAACCTACACAAAATACTACCACTACCATTATAACAACGTATACCACTTATTAATCAATACCATTTCAGAATTAACCAATACCAATGCATGAAATCAATACCAATGCGATAACATCAATACAAAAACTATCATAACGTGACAATCAATACCAATGTAAAAAAATAATACCAATATGAAAAAACCAGATCTGAAATCCAGCAAATTGTTGGCGCCATGTCTTCACAGCGGAGAGAGGAGAGGTGGGCGGTAGGTTGGGGAGGAGGGGAGGAGGGTGGCACACGATGATGGGGTAGGGTTGGGTTGGGAGGGAGAGATAGAGGTGGAGGATGGAATGGTGGAGATAGGGACGTGAAGAGGGATGACAAAGGGCGAGAAAGAGGGAAAGAATAGCAGAGGTTGGTCGGGAGGAGGGATAGCGGCTGGTTGGTTGTTCGTCGGGATGAGAGAGGCGGAAGGGAGGCAAATGGTGATTTGTTAGGGTTGGGGATATATAATTATTTAGGGTTTGAGAATATATGAAAAGTCATATTTTAACGAGATAGTAATCCAGTGTGTTTTTATATTTTTTTCCAAAATTAACCTTAATCAATCAAGACCAACATTTTAAAAATATTGAGAATGAAGGGTGGAGATGTAGGTAGCCACGATGACTACTAATAAAATAGTAACCATCCTAACTCATCCCCTATCATTACCACTACCAGGTACCAAATGGTACTGGTACCCAATGATAGTGGTACGCTTCCACTACCACCTACAAGATGGTAGTGGTAGCGTACCACTCCATCTAATACCAGTACCACTAAAAAAATCGGATCTGAAAATCCAAAAACCATAGATCTGAAAAACGAAGAGGAGAAGAAGAAGAAGAGTATAGTGGAAGAGGGACTCACTCCGAAAAAGAGGCGAGCAAATGAGCCGACGACGACATTAGTGGATGAGAGTGGCGGAGGGCGTGGCAGGGGGTGGAGGGAGGCGGAGGAGGGTCGCGGGATGTGGTGGAGGGAGGCAGAGGAGAGATACGGAGCTACTGGGAAGGTGGCGGCGGTGGAGGGAGACAGCGAGAGGGGGTCAGCGGCGGCTGTCACGACGGTTGATGGAGCGGCAGCCGACGACGAGGGGTAGAGGGAGGGAGGTGTCGTCTGCATGAGAGAGGGAGGAGTTAGGGTATTTATTTATTTATTTATATAGGAGGGAGTATGATTGAGTGTGGTAAGTTTTTCCACTTCCAAAAATACCCTTCATTTAATCTCAACCATTGATTTGAAAAAGAGAAGAAAGAGACAAGAGAGAGAACAAATCCAACGGTTATAAAATCAGTTGTCAATCTCACAACCCCCTAAAGGGTTGTGATGGTATCCCATCCTCAGCAACACGTAAAATATTTCATGATTTCCTATTTTACGTCGGTGAAGAGTATAGTAGAGGGTTGGGTCGACCGTAGCTAGAGAAGAACTGAAGAAGTCATCTCAGAAAGATTATCTACATTTTTTCTTAATCCTTGGTGTGCCAGACTGTTAAGAGCATTTCCTTTCATTAATCACACCTCACGCCAATTGATCATGTCTAGCTTTGTATATTAGCCGAATAGGCGTTATAAACGCGTAATTGTCTGCCTAGGTTTTAGGCAAGGTGCTTTGTCACTGCCTAGTGCATAAGGGGTACACGGAATTATCATTCTTGAATCTTGATAAATATCAAATTATCAATCAATTTGTCTTATGACTATTCGAAGAATTGGAGCGTAAGCTAGTGATGCTTTCGGCTACTGGACTTTCCCCATCTAGGGTGCAGCACTCTACCGCTTCGCCTAGCAGCACGATGCTTGTATTGCTCTCCCACAACCCCGTTTTCACGGTTTAGGCAGCTCCGATTTCGCTCGCCGCTACTACAGGAATCGTTTATACTTTCTTTTTCTCTGGTTACTAAAATATTTCAGTTTGCCAGGTTGTCTCTTGTCTGCCCATGGATTCAGCAGCAGTTTGAGATTTAACCAACCGTCAAATATCATCACTTGCAACCTTCTTAATCTACACACAAAAAAAGTAGATGTATAATGAGTCGGATCAACTTGTTAAAAAGAGTGGGTCAATTTCAATTTTCAGCCAAATCCCCAACTAACCCCTACTTCGACTGAAACCTGTGCTGCTGGGTGGCGTCTGGCGGTGGCTGTTGGGTTGGAGTGTCAGTAGCCTCACAAGCTTTGGGGCAAATCTCAAATGGAATCTCTTGGAGGACTCGGCAATGGCGGGTTGTGGGGATGGGATCAAAGACCCAGAAAAAGGAAAGCCTGTCGGAGCAATTCATCCGGTTCAGTCGAAGCGGCTGGCGGTTTCCGCTTCCCGCTAAAGCAAGCCCTCACAGCAGGTACCTTGGCTGTCACTGGTGATACTATAGCTCAACTTAGTGAGCGTTACAGAAAGCGCAACACCCCTAAACCACAAGATAATGTAGTCTCTTCTCATGAACCTGGCGAAGCGCTGGTGAGTGTGCTCTGTGCTTCGTTTGTTACGTTGAACGAGCTGTAGATAATTTGATTAGTTGTGCCCATGGGAACAATGGCGATTTTTTCTTATTATTATGACATTGTTAGAGTAATTAGAGAGATTCCAATTCCTTTTAAGCAATTGATTGTGGAATCAGAGGTACTTGATATGTCCAGGCATTTGAATGAATTTCTCATGAACCTTAACTGGCGAAATGCCCACCTCTTGGGCCTTTCCTGTGCTGTAACTGGGACAGAAACGCACTTGTGGTTATTGTTCTTAAAGGAAGCCATTGGTGTACATCCTGCTTAGTCTGTTGTTCCTCATCATCTAGTGGCCACTGTGTTGAATCAATGCCACTCCAGTTCGTTCTGAACTGATTTGGATTTTCTCTTTCTCTCTAAGTTTGTTCAATTAGGAAAGCAGAATATAAACTCTCAGAACTGCAGTTTTGTTATATTTGTAAATACAGAAGCAGTTTTTATGTTTAATAGTTTTGAGTTTTGACCATTGTTTACTAAAGAAGATATTACAAAAATTTGATGGCTTTGCAGACGATCCTTTGCAGCCATGATTGGCTTCGTGCCTTGAGGATGGCATCTTATGGGTTTCTTTTGTATGGCCCCGGTTCATATGCATGGTACCAGTATCTTGACCATTGTCTACCAAAGCAGTCAGTTCAAAACTTGATACTTAAGGTAATTGTTAAATAACTATGAATTGCTGAATGTCAATCAAGAAACTTGTATATGAGCAGAGGATTGTAAGTTTCATTTGGCGTCCTCTCTTTTCAGGTTGTTTTGAATCAAGTGATACTTGGTCCATCTGTGATTGCTGTTGTGTTTGCATGGAATAGCATATGGCAAGGGAAGCTTTCACAGCTTCCAGGGAAGTATCAAAGGGATGCTCTTCCTACGCTGCTTTCCGGTAAAAGTCTCTAAAGACTCAATACTGGTGATTGGATTTTTTATTTTCTTGATGCTGATATTTAGTTTTCAATGCAGGGTTTAGGTTCTGGATTCCTGTCAGTATATTGAACTTTTGGTAATACTTCTATCACTTTTTAGGTGGTATTCTAAGCTTTGGTTTTCAAAGCACTGGTTATTGTCTCTCCTTCTGGACAGTTAAAAAGTATTGTAGTTAATGAATGCCATGCGTTTGAAATCATTCGTTTGGTTAGGTGATATTATGGGTATATCTACGAGGTATGAGCCCATTAAACAACTGTATAGAGAGATGATCACTTTTTACACCTACCTGCCAACGAATGAGGCCTTTTCTTCCATATCTTGTTGTGGAGCTGATTGAAAGGGAATTTGTCATATTAAAAGTTACGGACCATTTCAGATTGGTAGTACTTGAAAATGGAGGTTGATCAGAATGGTACCGTGACATGCTCTGATAAAAGTTTTAACATTTTTGCAGGGTAATCCCTCTCCAAGCACGTGTTGGCTTCATGTCCATGGGTTCTATATTCTGGAACTTCTGCTTATCTTCAACTATAAGCAAGTAGATCGATCCACAGCTACTGTGATGGTGCTAGCAAGATATGTCAACATAAGGTGTATTCTCCTACTTTTGACTCGAGGCTTAATGTCCTTCAAATATCTCATCAATCTGTTTTCCGGATCATAAACCCATCTGTTCATTTGTTTTTGCCGAGTATAGCTCGACTTTTGAAACCAAAGCATGCAAGATTCTTCCTTCTCTTGTCCTAGATCTCACATGGCTACATTTGTCTGCTACTTATGTAATTTGGTCTCTTTTGCACTTTTTATTGCCATCTTGCAGATGTTTTAATCATCAGCAGCAGTTGGGATCAAGAACAGGCAATGAATCATGCAACAAGTGCACTATTAAGCCGGCTAACAGTTGAGAGTATTCAGAGAAAATGCAAGACTCAAGTATGCTTAGAACAGGTTCAGATTTTCAGCAGCTTTCCTTATGGCTTGATCTGACAAAATTAGCAAGTATGTGATTTTCCTATTCGTGGCAGTATGAATTCTATGTAATTTTGGTGTTGGAAATATCATATCCCTGACAGCACAGAATGGAAAACCTTGGAATGATGGTGCTGGAAAGTGTGGTTTGATTAGGAAGTCGAAGCCAATTCTGTGGTGTTGAAATTGGAATCCATAGATCAATCACAGGACTTGCTATAGCAGAGGATGAGAATTGTACGTTGTTGAAACTTGTGCACCACGTGCTATTTTATCAGCTCTTATCTAGGAACGATCTCATTCGCTGCAGCTGTTCCATCTGTTAGCTGTAAGAAATCCGGAATCATGATAATATTATTCGTTGTTAGGAACTGCATTAGGCAACGCAAGCCGAAGGGGAGGGGATAGAGAGAAAAGAGTGGGAAGTGTCCTTTAGAAACATGGAATTGGATTCTTTGTCTTTGTTTTACTGCACCCTCAACGGTTCTTTTATACCCTCTTATGGTGGGAATGGGATGCACTTTGCATCATTCTCCCACCATCCACAAAAGAAGAAGGAAGGAACAAAATTCTCTTGATTTTCGTTTTCCACATCAAGCGAGAAATCATAGAAAAGGAGCAAACAAAAGCTTCTGGTGATCATAACAAGCGCAGGCAGGAAGAGTAGTCTCTCTTGGGAAAAAAATATTAGCAGAGCCATGAGCCACGGCGGGCCTTTCCCAGGATATTCACGGATGCTACCACGGTATTTCCTCCTCGATCCGAACATCTCCGGTGAGGGCCATGGCCGAACTCCGGTCCGAACAACTCCTGTAAGAAAATAGTTTTGTGCAAGCCTTGCTCGCTTTCATCATCGTCGTGTCTTTTTTAGGGGAAACTGGGCAGAGAAGAAAGAGGCAGGCATGGGCATGGCATTAGTAGTAAATGGTAAATGGTGATGGGTTGTATTGGCAATGGCAGGTTCCGATAGAGTGGAGGACAGCATCAGCTGATCCCGTTTGGGAAGCGACGGTGGAGCATAGGATGATTGTCAGAGACCATCCTGGGTTTCCTCGGTATGCCTAACCTTGTTAGGCTGGCTTGGCTAGCAATTCTTTGATTTTCATTACCAAACAATTCAAGGATTTATTAGTAGACATTTGGATGTCAATAATACTGCACTTTAATTAATCTCTAATGCTTCCTGAGCGCCACTCGTCTGTAGCAGCATTCTGCCGCCGCCATCATCACCTTTCCAACGACCTCTAGGCGTGGAAATCGCGCTCCTCCGTGATGCAATAATGTCGAGGGAGCTCGGAGAATTCGCCTCCCTCGTTCCGCCGTCGAGTTTATATGGAACCCAGAGGTCGCCTGCGGACTCCAAATTAACCGAGGAAGAGCAGAATGGAGCAGTGAAGAAGTTGAGGAGAGTCGTGTATGCTCCAGCGTCGTTGTCGTCGCTAGGTAGCCGGGTGAGCCTGTACTACAGAGATCGAGCGGCGGCGGGCAGGGCGAAACGAGCAGAGGAGGAAGGGAAGAGGTGTGCGGTTTGCTTGGAGGATTTTGAAGCAAAGGAACAAGTCATGCTGACTCCCTGCGACCATATGTTTCATGAGGACTGTATTGTTCCCTGGGTTAGGAGCAATGGCAATTGCCCGGTTTGCCGTTTCTCACTCTCGGATCGCAGCCGGTTGGGTTAGGGCCTAGGGGCTTAATATAGCTCCAATCGGAATGCGCATAGATACTTCTGTTCTGTAACACTAAAGTGTAAACCTTGGTTATTGTCGGGGCAATTCTCTGGTAATCATAGGTCTGGTTTAGGATTGTCCAAACAAGATTGTTTGGGTTTGTAATTGTCTGGTATGATCAGTTTTCCCGCAAGATATTGTCAAGAAGCAATATCAACTCTTATTTTAGTCTCTAAAAACATATATAGTAGCAAATAATTTTCTGCCTCTAAAAGTTACAAATATCAATATAATAATATAATAAACTTGTCCATAGATAAGAAGGCAAAACTTTACATGATAGTAGGGATGGCAATTGGACGGGTTTGGGATGGGTTTGTCTAAACCACCATCCCCATCTTCAAATATCCAAACCCATACCCGCCCCATATCCATGCGGGGAATGTTTGGCAAACTCATCCCCAAACCCATGGGTTTCGGGTACCCATGAGTCATACCCGTACCCGTACATCCAACATTATTATCCTAAAATTTACAAGAAAAGTTTTAACAACAACTCTAAACGTACCTATTATATCACGAATTCAACAAAACACGGTCATTTTCTTAATACAATTCAAAGAATATGATCCTAAAACATTCGTTAATACATAATATAGAGTATAATATTTTTCAAATTATTATGTTCTAACTCTGACACATCTACTAAGAAATAATTAACTTACATAATCTTGTTGACAAGGGGGAAAGTGAAAGAGTGAAAGGAGAATTGAGGGAAATGAATTAGGTTTTGATTAAGGTCGTCACTCAATTGCATTTCTACTATTTATTTCCTCGAGTTATCCTTATCATCATTGATAGATTACAATTTGATCTACATATTTTTGTATATGTGAAGAAATTCTCTTGGTGGGGGATATGGGTATGGGTATGGGGCGGGGAGGCTAAAACCATACCCGCCCCATACCCATCAAACTTTTTACGGGTTTTACCCATACCCGCCCCATACCCGGTCAAAGTGGGGATTACCCGCGTTGACTGGGTCGGGGGCGGTTGGATACCCGCGGCCATGGGTTTGATTGCCATCCCTACATGACAGTTACAACAAATGTGCGGCTATATGTAATATTTCAATTAAATTAAAATTAAATGTAAAATAATAAGGCTTTAAGAGGCACTTAATATTATTTTTGGAGGAAAAAAGATACTAGTCGCGTATACCATATTTTAGGAGACAATAATTTTATGTGTCGCGAATTTTTTCTCTAAATGTGATTTCTCTAGTGAAGGCATTAATGAGAAAGACTAACTTATAATCATAATTCTAACCACATGCTATAGTTAGTATACAACCAAACTATCGATAAAAAAATTTTGTTTTACCACGAGATGAACAACTCTATTGAAGCTAATAGATTAATAAAACTAAAAACAAAAAATAAGATAAACTAAAACAATTCCAAAGCTGTTGCAATTCCTCTTTTCCCCTTTATTTCTTTCTTCTTCCTCGCTCACGAAAATCCTGATGGTCGATGTCACCACCAGACCACTACCAACATCGTCGTTGTGACCATCATCATGCAGAACTCGGTTCTCAGATACCTTGTTAGACACAATCACCATCGCCATCGGCGATCTTCCCGCTCAGCCATAAAGAGCATCATTTATGTCGCCGCCGACATGCACTTGCCATCGCGTTGATGATGATATTTAGGGGAAACAAAATAATCATATATCAAGATTCAACAAGTTCATTCCTCCTCTGAGTGAGTGATCTCTATCTTTTCAAGGTCTTTAAGATTTGGGGATGTCACCGTCCGGATCAACTCAGCGAGCTTGGGAAGAAGAAAGGAAGAAGAATCGAGAATGTACGTAGAGAAGTAGAGGAGGAGGGAAAGTTTAGTATGTCTTTATTCATACCCCTAACGAACACACTACGACTCTCTTAAGTAGCCGCTTGTCAGCTGTCACACACACAATCCTCACGACATTTTCAGTTTAAATCCCAAACTTTTAATTATAAAATTTTGATCCAATTTGTTACAAAATCTCTCTCCATCATCACAGACTTGTTCTTTAGTCTGGAAGTCTGAAAATCGGGACTTGAACTCTTCGAGGTACTCCCACGTAGCATCCTCCTCCGATTGATGAGTCCATTGCACCAAGATCTGAGTGTAGCCTGGTTGCCCTTGGATACAAATCGTCTAGCAAGAATCACACCAGGCTCCAACTTCAGAGTTTCCATTGCATCCATTTCAAGAAATGCTCGTTGCACTTGGACGTTGAGCACCCTTAGCCTGCTTAAGAAGAGAAACATGAATCATTGTGGGTAGCTGAAGGTTGTAGGCAACCAACCCCATCTTTTGTAGAATCAGGAAGGGACCAAAGAATTTGGGAGCTAGCTTTTCATTAGCCCTCTGCTCAATTAATTGTTGTCTATAGGGTCTTAGTTTCAAATAAACCTAATCTCCAACCTGAAACTCCCTCTCAATCGTGTGTCTATCAGCCATTTATTTCTGCCAATTTTGTGCCATAGCTAAGTTGTGTCTGAGATGTGTTGCTCTTTTAGCTTGCATGCTACTGCTGCAAGTGGAGTCAACAATGGGTTCTGAACTAAAAAAATGAGAAGGAGGGTATCCATACAAGGCCTCAAAGGGAGTAATGTGTAGGTTAGAGTGAAAGTTAGTATTGTACCACCACTCTACCATTGTCAACTGACTTGACCATGTTTGAGGACCCGAAAGTATCATGCATCTAAGATAATCCTCTAAACATCGATTCAGCCTTTCTTTTTGACCATCAGTCTAAGGATGGTACGTAATCGAATAATGAAGATGAGTCCCTTTTAAGGAAAACAAAATAGTCTAGAAGTTTTTAAATAATACATCCCTATCAGAAACAATCGTTTGAGGCATCCCATGAAATCAAAAAGCCCCATCCAAGAACATTTGTGCTACTGTACCTGATGAGAAAGGCCTGTTGAGAGCAAAGAAATGTCCATATTCAGTGAACCTGTCAATCACTACCAGAAATGTGACACTGCTGGCAAATGTGACACTGCGAGATATACTGTTTCACGTCCCCTTTCATTCTAGGCCACTAAAAATATTGCGTTATCCTCTGGTAAGTATCTTGCAACCCTAAATGTCCACGTACCCACATGGAATTTATTAAACAAAATCAAAAGCTGCTACCTCATGTTCCAAACTTTGCCAATATAAACTGCAAACTTGTGATAGAGTAGTCATTGCTTGAAAGTATTGATTCTTGGTCCCATAATAGGAACTGAAGCCTCTGCCATTCAATCATGAATCCAATCATCCCCTCATAAGTTGTCTCCACCTCAATCAACCATGTCGATAGTACACCAGAGATGGCTTTACAATTATCACTGGACATTTTAGTATGTGTGGACATAGCATCAACCACTTTTTTATATCTCCTCTGTATATATCTAATTTTATAATCTAGTCCCAACAACTTCAGTAATCCCTTCTTCTAAATGTGAGTATAAATCTTTTTGCCAAGAAGATGTTTCAGGCTCTCATGGTCAGTTAAAATGATAAAAGTTCTCCCTTCTAAATAATGTCTCCACTTGATAACAACTAATATCACTGCCAAATATTCATTCTCGTAAGTAGATAACCCAATTTTTCTTACTCCTAATGCCTGGATAAAGAAGGCAAGGGGTCTACCCTCCTAAGATAGCACAAAAACTACTCTCACATCACTTGCATATGTTGGTTTGATCTCAATCATGTTGAACAAGTGACTAGTCCACCCTTGTACTTTCTTCCTAAACAACTTCTGCAATCCTTTTCCAGATATAGCCTTGCAATTCCCTATCTCCTACTCTCAAGTCAACACCACTTTCTGCCCTTCCAACTCAAAAAACAGTTGCAGACTCACAAAATCAAATCTGACAGTACTAAAAGAGTTCTCAGCCAGTCCAACCCCATACCCATTTCATGACTTCCCATATTGAGTATCTTGACATCATAACAAAAATGGTGTCCTTGCATATACCAATTGAAATCCTTGCACCCAAAATTTCTCATCAAAACTATTCCACCAGTCAGTTTGACTCTTAGTGGAGTAGCATGAGTCGATAGACACTTAAACTCTCCCACTCGAGATAGGTAGAGGTATGAGTTGGAGTATTCGAGAGCCAATAGCTAAGGTCATAGAGTAAATCCACTGTTAGAATCCTTAAATTCATTACATAAATTTGGCCTAACCAAGTCATGAATTTTCCTATTAAACTACCCACTAAACTATGGAACATCATCATGAAAGACATTAGGGGAGTCTGTCACTCCCAGCAAATCACAAGCCCTAGCTAGGGTATGCGACAACTAATTCCATCCTTCTAATTTGTGCTTTGTTGATGATTCCCTGTTTTGCCTCCTCTTCCTTTGATTTCTGTTTTTGCATGGGTTGTCAATGTGTAGTTTGTCTTGCATGTTTCAATATTGGGCCTCCAAAAAAAAAATTAATATTTGAGTGAATTTGTCTTACATGTTCAATATTTTTCGGTTGTGGTCTTTTTAACTTGATTATCAAGTTCTACTTCGTCTCTACTAGGGGTGCCACATTGTCTATTACTTTTCTACAAGGAGTTCTGTCGCCAACCATTCCCTTTAAGGGGTTCCAAAGTATCTTCCGTAGGAGTGAATTAGCACGATCGTGGAACCGATTGTCAATGTGTAGTTTGTCTTGCATGTTTAATATTTGGCCTCCAAGAAATAAAAAAAAAATTAATATTTGAGTGAATTTGTCTTGCATGTTCAATAATTGTCGGTTGTGGTCTTTTTGACTTGATTTTCAAGTTCTACATCGTCTTCTACTAGGGGTGCCACATTCTCTATTACTTTTCTACAAGGAGTTCTGTCGCCTACCATTCACTTTAGGGGGCTCCGAAGTATCTTCCGTGGGAGTGAATTAGCACGATCGTGGCCCAATGGTGGACACCAAGATGTGTAGGCTTAATAGGTGAGAAGGCTTTAACGAGAGAATGTACCACGCTCGTAATGTTTCCTTCAGCTTCCACAGAATAAACTCTTCCAGAGACCCTGCACAAAAGCCCACATGCATTTCACGCTTGGGAAATCCTCTGACGGTCAAGGTAGAGATTAATTAGTTGTCTATTTTAAATAGAGAATGATTAGTTGCATTACCATAAATGTGGACCAAGTGGCTATTTATGATCACTGGATGGTCTTTTGTGAGCATTTAATGTTTTCTCGGGCGTCTTGGGGTTTTTACCAATTAGGAGTTAGAGCTCTCTTTTTAGCATGAAATGCTAGCATCGTGATTCTCACACTACCTATGGTGAGTAGGTGGCTATCCTAATGAGGTCTAGTCCATTTGAGGATGCTTCAAGACCCGTGTAGGGAATGTCTTTATAGAAACTTATCTCTTCTAGTTCGAGGATCTGCTGGGCATTTCTGGTTTTTTTTTGGTAAAAGGCATTTCTGGTTTTGATGAGCCTCTAGTTGTGCTTATTGGTTATTGGGCTTTGTGTATAGTGCAATCCAGTTTACGGACAATCCCTTAGCCCAACAGGAACTGACTATGACACGACTCCCACCGCCTACCATTGGATAACCACTTTTAGCCTCAATGAGCAAGCCAAAACCTTTTTTCCATACTATGATGGTAACAATTAGTGGAAACTCTACACTAGGGAGGACTGCAAATTCTGGTATAATTTTGAAATTACTTTCGAATGATAGTATTTTTTGAATATCATAAATTAACCACAAAAAGTATGAGAAACAAGGTTGTCAACCCAGTTTAGTCTGTTGGTCGGTTTAGCAATTGAGTTGAGCGTTAATGATTTGATCGTTTTGGCCCGTTTAACACGAATTTACGAAAAAAGTTATTATATTGTTCAAACATTTATAAACTATATAAAATCTTGTCACATCCTCTCCCTCTCGAGTGGTATAATGTGTAGTATGATGTGCGTTAGAGTTAAATATATGAGCTAGCCCAGATTTACGAAAAAGTTATTATATTGTTCAAACATTTATAAACTATATTCAATCTTGTCACATCCTTATAGGAGTTTTAGGAATAGTACTGTGTCTTATTATGAAACCACAAAGGGGTTTATATAGATTACAAGACTTAGACAATAAGTAAGAGAACCACAATAATTGTAATACTAGAAGGA